AGCAGTCCGGGAGTTTGTATAAAAACTATAAAACATACAGAGAGACTAATATAGTGTTGTACATCTGCATAAAAATGGATAAATAGTAAAATTAAAATGCACTCACGTGGTATGGTACTTATATCACCAATGTGGCATTTTTCAAGAAAAATATTGGTGAAAAGCATTATTTTTACTCTTTACTCTATATTTTTCTCCCAAATTCTGTAAGTGTATTCCTTACGTATCCTTCCATTTTACTATAAATACAGCACTATATATTTATCCACCTCAGTTATATATCATCGAGGCACTACCTCTCCCTTCCTGTACAAGCAATTTACCTTATCCAGAAAGAGGAGAGAATCCACTATGCTTACCTAGTACTATTGAAGCGCTGAACCACCATATAGATTCTAGCTTGGTATAGTAGGCTACTGGTGAGCATGCTCCCTGTCGCCAAGGTAGTTGTAATGCAACTAATTTTTACTTTAGGGGGGAGGTGATCACCTTATTGGGTTTTAGTTAACATATAGGAGCATCAGATTGGAATAAGGGATTGCTAAGAGCAATACTTTAGTACATTGGAGTTTAGCCAAAGGCAGACCATAGCCTTTTTCCTGTTCTCTGACTTCACCATCAGCTGTCGATGGACTACTCCAACCGCTAATGTTTTGAGCACTCTAGTTACCCTCTTTTAAACAGTTGGTGTCATGCCATACTATAATATAGATTCAATTCACTCTTTTTCTCATTTTTGGCTATCCTTTACTTGAGTATCATCGAATGTTGTTATGGCTGGATTAGTGCCAAAAAAGGCTGTTGTTACAGTGTTAACTTATCAAGTGTATATGTTTTGGTTAGTTAAATTAGACTGTTTTTGCAAATCTATCGATAAAAGTTAATGTTTCTACTGATTTTAAGAAAAAACTTAAAATAATACATATGTGGATGGTCAAAATGAGTATAGTTGTAAAAAACTGAAGCCTGTCTTTACCTCACTTAGCATCTATTAGCTATGGGCTGTAATCATGATATAAATGAATAGTAAAGTGTTTTTTGCACTGGTGTTCTCATGGCTTTTCAAATAAAAGGGCTTTTACTGTATCAGACAATTTGTTTAGGAGTGTCCTTTGTTTGGGGAAACTTTTTGTTATCAGTAAATGTAAAACTTTATAAAGCTTAATAAAATTATTTGGCAAATAAAAGATAAATTAAACTACTATAGCATTATAGCAAACATTTAGTATATGTTTAAATAGTATAGCATTAGTGGTAACAAGAAAATACAGGGTCTTAAACATTAAACAGAAAAAAAAATGAACATAAACACTGTAAAAAGATAGCGCTGTGAATTATATATTTTTATTTTATCCACTGAATAATTTGTATGCTTAAATAAGCAAATTCTGAATACATAAACAGCATCATTAGCAGTGGTTTACATTGAAGAATAACATTTTACTAAACCATCTATTTATGAGTATCACTACACCCTCTCAAAAAAAGCTTAGATAGTTACTTTAAATTAAAATCAGTGATATTGCAACAGTTGTGATATTACTAGCACATCTGATTAAAGATTAGTAGTTTCATAAAAGTGAGGGCTGCAGTTTTAGTGACATTAGTGTCAAAGTTTGCTTACCCCTAATTTAGGGTCTATATGTTTTCCTTTCTGTGGCCCACATTGTATACTGCTGAGAGGTAACTCTAAATGTCATGCTTTTCTGTGTTTTCAGTGAAGTGAAAGTGAATTACTAGTTCAGTGTAATTTTAAAGGTTGATGACTGTAACAGAACCACTGCTTATCTGTGTGTTTTCAACTTGCATTGTGTGTTTCCCCTCTGTTTCCTCGTTCGGGAGCGACCATACAAACAGAACCCATTTGTCTCCCGAATGGGGACCACCCGGTGCCCCATTAGGATGTTCACACCAATTCCTTAGAACGTTCACACCAATAACATAAGTGCCAAACCTCAAGGGAAGTAACTAATGAGTGCTCCACTGGGTGGCCACCATTTCGTATAGATGAATGCCAACCAGAGGGAGCATTCGTATCCTGAAAAGAGACGCTTCCCTTAGATGGTGTTCACACAGGAACCTCATGAATGGAGACCAGTCGGGGAAATGTACTTTTATAGGGGTTCCTGAGGTTGGTAGGGATGCTTTTAGGGTACTGGTTATTTTGGCGGTCTTTCTGCACCTGGGAGACAAAGAAACTAGATCCCTTTTCCCGTCCCTTGGATCCCAGGGGATTATGCATAAAAGCCATGTGTGGCACAATAAAATCATGTTGTACTCCCAGATCTGTGTGTCATCCAGTTACTGGGGGAATGGGTGTCTTTATACTTTAAGTGGTTCCAGAGTAGCTGAGGGAAGGAATTAGCGGAGTAACCGGTCGGGTTACCCTTGGTCTGCTACAATGACAATATGATGTACAAGTATTCTACATGATTTATATGATTTGTCAAGAAAAAAAAATCAAACAAGCAGAGGTAAATGAGAAGTGCAAATATTGGAATATCTAAAATATTGCTTAGTATGGTCTCATAAATCAGTCTTTAATGTGACTTACCAGGTGTTTGAGGATTTATTCACTATCTGCTACTAAAAATGTTAGCATGGAATCCACCCTTACACCTAGTTTGTTCTCAAATGTTAATATACATAATTAGAAGTATCTTATATGCAATTGCAACCCTCTATCAGGAGGGATAATGCCATCTTTATAAATCTTTAAAATACATTTTAAAAAGATCATGATAATGTCATATTTATATTTAAGATATGATACATTCAGCATAAAATAATTTTTAAATTAGGTGTTCTGGCAAAATATAATCTGAGAATGTATTTCCAAGTGGAGATTTAACTGTTAAATTGAGCTGTCATTATTGCAGGCAGAAATGTTTGGCACTAACCTGGATAACTCTTTACCAGGTGACATTAACCATGTATTCTTGGGAATTGCAAGGACAATGGGACTTTATTTGACCTGTCACACAAGCCTTTAATCTTAAGGAATACAATGCTTTTCACTTGTTCTGTGACTTCAGCAAACTTTTAAAACAAAGGGATTATATAAAGCAACATTATATTTATACACAATTTGCCACAAAGTATTTTGTGTCACTAGGATGGGCCACGAGAAAAGAACACGGCATCACTAATTTAACTTAAATAGATTATATATATGTATGTATATATATTTTTTTTTTGGATGGGGGGGCAACTCCATATTAAAAGAGAATTGTTTGGAATTAAACTTGTAAGTTGGATCCACACTTATGTCACTAACTGTCTCTTTGGCACCTCATTTTTGATATCCAACTAGAATCTAAGGCTGAAGCAAACTCATCTTTTATTTACTTTCTTTTTCCTACCTATTAGTTACATTTTCTTCACTTTTAATAATATTTCTATAGCTCTACATAACACATTGTAGAAAATGTTCACCATATTTTTTTTTGACAATCTTTATTTTTCAGTTTTTCAGAAAAAATAGTGTAACATTGGTCAGTCTGATGAGGTACATTTAGGCAGTTTGAACAACTTAGTGCGAACTAGGTTTTGCTCCAGCAGCAACATAGACCCGTCTGTGGGTTTCCTCTATTGACCTCCCTGGCTATCATGGCTATAGCCTACAGATACTTAGCGCTCTAACGGTTCAAGGACTGTGTCCAGGTCTTAGCAACGACTGTCTGATCCAGACTGCGATTTTGGCTGGCCGTGTGTCATGCGCTATCCCTGGGACATCACCCCGGCTTCTGTTGTATCCGTTGGGCATTATCTCTTAGGTGTACAACGCTACTTAGGATGCTATGTGTACCATTGGACCCAGTTATTTCGTTTACGGTTCCCCGGTTGGGGTCTGTCGACCTAGGTTAACTCGTCCCTACTGCAGACCGTGGTGCTAAGTAACGTGCTAGTCATCTGGGGGTTGTCTATGTGTCGCAGGTACGGGGGGAACTTCCATACAACTTAGAGGCGGTTTACTAACTGTAGGTGCGGTGCTCTGGTTGTGGTGCGTGAGCTTTGGGGTCTCATCATTTGTCCGGGTTCCAGTGTTCCCGTGTCTCAAACCTGTCTCTGTGCTTCTGGTTGCGTTAGGTTGTCCGTCCTGGATTGCTCCAGGTCCTGGTAGGGTGGGTAGGTTGTCTCGGTCGGTGCAATGCCGTTCGGGTGTCAGGTTTGGTCGGGGGGAAACCTGTCAGTTGTCTGTGTGTGTAAATTGGGTAGGTTGTGTCTGTGCCTACGGGGTGTGAGGAGCTTGTCGAGGTGTTGTGTGTGTTTCAGCTAGGTTGGTTCGGGGGCCCTTGTTCTATCCGTGGGTACCAGGTCAATGCACATCGATCTGGTTTCCCGTGGAGGTCGGCCGTCAGGGCTTCCATTGAGTATACGTCCTCCACTGCCGCCACCCATTGCCCCAAGGTGGGCGCTTCTGGCTGTTTCCACATCTTCGGGATGAGGGATTTGGCGGCATTGAGCAGCGGCAGCTCTAGAGATTTTTTGTATACTTTCAGAGGGCTTCAGGTGTGGTGCAGAAGCATCGTTAAGGGTGCCAGGGGTATATCTGCGCCAGTGACTTTGTTGATTTCCCCTCTAATTTGTTCCCAGAAAGGGGTAATTACCGGGCATGACCACCATAAGTGGATATAGGTGCCAGGTTGAGTGCCACATCGCCAGCATGTGTCTGACATGGTTTCGTGCATGCGGTGCAGTGTGTCGGGCATTCTGTACCAGCGTGTTAGCACTTTATAGTTTAATTCCTGAAATTTCGAGCTAATAGAGCATTTGTGCGTAAGGGTGTAAATCTTGTCCCATTCATGTGCTGTGAGTGTCTCTCCCGCATCTCTCTCCCAGTGTTCCTTGAACCTAAGCTCCACGTCTCTGTTCATCTGGGTCAAGAGTAGTGTGTACTGGGTTGAGATACCCCTGGAGATATGTGTGCGGTGCACGCATAAGGTTTCGAAGTCAGTTAAGGGTCTGTGTAAGTGCCCCTTTCCCGACAGGGTTGAGTAATATGATTTTATTTGGCTGTATCTGAACTGTTCTAAGAATGTAGGTGTTCTGTCTGGGCATAATTCCCTGAGTGTTTTGAGACCGTTGGTACTGAACCACTGGTGTATATATGCCCAGTCCGTAGGTTGAAGTCCGGCTAAGTCGCCGCGCGTTAGCGTATCTGCCAAGTCCGGGTTATGTATGAGAGGGGTCAGGGGGCTGGGTGAAGTGGTAAGTTGTAGGCGATATCGGATAGCCATCCAGACCCTCAGGGTGGCATCTATTAAGGGGTTTTGGGTTTGTAGGTCTGCGTATGTGGCCGTGTGTAGCCATAATGTGGGGGGTATGCGTCCTCCTGACTGTTCTAATTCCATTGTGACCCATTGTTTTGTGGGATGTTGCGCGTGCCAGTCTGTGAGCCTGTGTAAGTGTGCGGCCCGGTAATACGTCTCTATTGAGGGCATGCCGGCTCCCCCCAACAGTTTTGGCAGTTCCAAAGTGGTTCTCTTGATGCGCGTTGGGCGCGAGTTCCAGACAAATCTGCGGATGGCGGTCGTCAAGGAGCTAAAAAACGCTCTGGGGACAGCGATCGGCACCGTCTGAAATAAGTAGAGCAGCCTGGGTAGTAGGCTCATTTTGACTGCATTAATGCGTCCGAACCAAAATATATATTGTGGGGCCCATTTTCTCATATCTGCCTGGATCGTTTGTAGCAGCGGGTGGTAATTTTGGTAGTACAGTTGGGTCATGTCTTTAGGTAGCCATATGCCCAGGTATTTCAATTTAGTGGGGCACCACTTAAAACGAAATTGGGTATGTAGCGTCGGGGAGGAATCCTGAGGGCCTGGTAGGTGAAGAGCCTCAGACTTATCTGTGTTGAGCTTAAGGTTAGATATCAAGCCAAATCTTCGGAATGCAGCCAGAAGATTAGGCAGTGAATGTTCACCATATTTGACACTGACATTTTTGCATCCAAATAAAAATTAGTTCAGCTATTGAATTAATTTATACCTCACTCAAGATTTTTCAAAACCACTAATTCTTTAGCTCCTCATTTTCTGTATGTACTACTGATTTCATAGATTTTTTTAAGTCTCTCTTGTTTTTCCCTTTTCTTACTGTGGACCAATTGACAGGAAAATGCTCATATCACTATACAGCAAACTATATACATACTATCATATTATATATATATATATATATTATGCAGTACATTAATTGGACCATTTTCATGCCCTTTTTTTGTCTGATTTGGTTCCCGAAATTCTGCCAAGCCAAACATACATTCTGCTGAAATGTCCTGTTTTCAGCCAAGCTGAATTTTCTTACCGTCCACAAGTCTAGTAGTAGTAGAAACTTTAGGATAACCTTCTTAAAGAGCAAAGGCTCTCCTCCTACACATTAAGCCCTAATTGTCAACAGATCCATGACAATTGAGACCCACAAAAAAAAAATAAGTATCACGCTTGGGCCTATAAATTAAGTGTGATGGGGCAAGAAGAGAGGGAATTACATATCCCCCCCACTTGTGTTTGAAACATACAGGTCATGGCAGGAGGTAAATGCAATAACAGTATTGTTCTTTACTCATGTTACATATTTATATTTCGTTAGAATGTTTTATTCTATTTTATATGTTATATACGTGTATATTGTCTGCAATAGGCATTGCATATTTGACCGAAACCAATAGCACAAGGCAAATTGTACACACACCAAAGCCAGATTAACATAGGGGCTGATGGAGATGCAGACCCATGCCTATGGACCCATGCTTGACAGACAACACGTAAATAATAAAGATATTGCACTCACATGTAAAAGAGCTATGACCAGCTCTAGTATATATCTCATATAGTGGTATAATCCCCACTTATGGGATATGATGATGGTCTTTCACAGCAGATGGTTGTCTCCATGCTCATAAAAGAAAAAAATAGCCACAAATAGTGCTTTTAAAAGTAATAAAAGTATATAAAGTAACCAAAATTGTACTCACAAGTGTAGAGCAGACCCACTGCTCTATGTTGACAGCATTGGTGGTATGATCCCCACCCAGGATATTCTTGAGAGTAGGAAAGGATACAAATATATTTTTTGAAATATTTTTAAAAAAGATAAAATGTCAGAGAGTTTAAATTGATTATTGAAATAAAGAGGTAATGGTATAATGGATAGTAGTAAAACCAAAATCCTTTATTCAATTAAAAAAATCTAAAGTCCATAACGCGTTTCACCATGTAGGCTTTCTCAAATGGAATCATAATAGACAACCTGGCTAGATAGGGCTTATATAGGTGAGAGGGTAGTTTAAAAATGGCAAATGGCAAAATTACATCGTTGGCTGTCCTCCAATCAACAAGCAATACTCCTAGTGTATACTGGCCTGGTTTGTGACATATCACCGGATCAAGTTATAGACAGACACTCATGTTGATGGACTAGTTTAGAGTGGGATATTATGTCTGTACATTGAAGTGCCCTGATCATGACAAAACAATTGCAAAAGAAGCCCACCCACCCCCACAGAGAATTTTATTATAATTATCTTTGCCATATTCTGCCAAATTATTGCAAATGTTTTAACACATTTTTTGCTCTCACTTTTTAATGATGGGAAATTATTTGTGTCATTACACTGATTTGCACCAAACTTCTACATAGTGTCAGTGGCGTGATAACTTATGCCTATGAAGAAATAAAAATCAGCACAATAAATATTGCACTGATGTGATAGCAGCAGACAAAATGTTGCAAATGTATCTCAATCCATCACATCTCAGAATTTCTCTATTTGGTTTATATTTGTTGACTGTGGAAGCCATTTGAGTATACTGAACACATTATTATTACTTTTTTTTTTTTATGAAACCAGTTTGAAATTATGTGATTTGTGACATGCAGAGTGTTGCACTGGACATAGCCTTTAGAAGACAGATGGCCTGTAGAGATGCTCAGCAAACATTGCTCAATGTAGAGAAAAGATGTCTGGGCACACACAGGATGTCCAAAATGCAGCCTTTATTCAAATGGAATGGCAACGCTTTAGCTCACACAAGAGCCTTTCCCAGCCACACACTTCAAAATACAAATCAGGTACAGCACGCACTGTGGATCTTGTGTGAGCTGAAATATTGCCTTTCTACTACAATAAATTCTGCATTTTGAAAATTCTATGTGTGACATCTATTCTATACATTTGGAATATTTCAAGGTAATGGTAGTCTCCCTGTTTCATGTGGCACCACAGTGTGGATCTTCAGAGCAAAATACTCACGTAGGCTCAACAATCATTCAGAGTGCTAATATATGCCAAGAAAATATTCCATATACTATGGCGCCACCATAGCCTTCCATTGTATCATGTTTTTTCCATGAAATTCTCAAATACCTTATGAGTTTTGCAAAAAAATCCAGAGCAAACATTATTTTCCAAACTTCTACTGCCAGTTTTGGTGTTTTGCTACCCACTGTAGCCTTGTTTTTCTGTTTTTGTCTGACAGGGGTGGCTGATGGTGTGGTCTTCTGCTATTTTACCTCATTGACTTCTCGGTTCAATGTGCTTTTCTTCATATAATTGTAGTTCTTTCTGTTACAGTCTCCTTCTTGTCATTCTAGCATTTGCCTAGTATTCAAGCATTTGTCCTCTGACCTTTTTAATTTGATTTGATTTGATTAATTTTTGATTGATTTTTGAACCAATTCCAATCAACTGTGTGATGGTCAGTCGTCCTTTTGGTTTTTCCAAATAAATTGCATTATTTACCCAATGACTTAAAACGATTGTACTCAAATAGTATTAAAATTGTACAAATTAACTTTAACATTTTCTAAATCTTGGAAACTATGTTGAATTATAAATATGTTAATACCAAGTATAGATATAATTCCTGCAATTTCATATAATTTATGTAAATGGTCCTTTAAAGGTTCAAAACACAGATGCCATCAAACAATAGTCAGGAAGAGCTAGACAAGAGAAGGGGAGGTGTTCTATGAACACTGTAAGTCTTAAATGTAGCTTGCAGGTTAGTCTGTCATTAGTCTTGCGTAAAGAAATTAGTTTTACATTTTGATTGCCTTTTTTGATATGTTGCAACCAAAATCCTTTTAAATACACATACAATGTTTTCTTCATCTTCTTCACTATTTCTGTAATGACTGACCACATTAAATAAAAATAAAAAATGTGTACATAATTCCAAAAGCAATAAAGCAAATTACACACAACATTGCTATTTTGTCCAATATTTATATACAAACTATTTCTTTCAAAATGTATATTTCTATACATAACAAAAAGCACTTTACACTCACAAACACAGACTGAACCATACACATAGACATAGACTGACCCATACACACACACGTACACACATATAGACATACACAGACTGTCCCATATACACACCACACACTGAACCATACACATATACACACACAGCCCGATCTATACACACACACATAGACTGAACCATAGACTGTAATAATGCTTCCCCAGCAACATGGTACAAGTTTATAATTTTCAATCACCTTAAACAGCACACTATTTGAAAGCTTTTTCTTATAATTATAATTGAGCTCTTTATCCACTTTAGGGACCACTTTCATATCAGTCATAGGGGCACATGAACCACACACACTGAAGCAAAATGTGATCACTTCCTCTCGACACAGTGCCACCATGTGACCACATAGGGCAACAGCCACATTGTTGCTGGGAACCTGGGACAGGCACATACGTAGCTGGAGTTACAGGCTTAAACAGGGGCCCACTGAACCTCTTCCTTAGTCTGGGATCTAAGTAGCTGCCTGTGCCGCCTTATGGCTAATTTGGCTCTGCTACTTCACGCTCTTTTTCCCCCCCTTTATTTTTTTCCCCCTATTCTTTTCTTTCCTTGCTTCACTTTTAAACCTGGAAAGCATTGTAATGTGTGGGACTTTAAAAATGAAGTACTAACTGTCAGATGACTTAATATCCCTAAAATATAGGTATCTATTTAGCTATATTTTCTCAATTCAGAGTATAGGATAAGAAAATATAATTATTATTTTATTTTTTTTTAATAGCTCAGCCCATAGGCAGCTCTCATTTAGCTATTGAGTCGTGCACGATAACTGAAACATAACAGTTAAATTAAGCTATGATGTGACTCTGATTATTATTTTCTCCTTTGTAGATCTTGTGATTTCTTCTGCGGATGAATTCATGTTTCCCCAGCTGCATGGTAAATATTTATCA